ATGAGTTAGGTTTGATGTCCCCGCTGAATCCTGTGCATTCAGCACTTGGCTGTGTGTGTGTCTGACCCCATTCCTGGGCAAGCCAACCCAAGCTGCAGCTGTGTTCTTCACCGGTGCCAAGCTCCCCGTGACCACATACAACTGCATCATCAGTCGCGGGCTGACCAAATACCATGCACAGCGTGGCCCCAGCACAACCAGCCCCCGTCAAAGTCGGTATAGTCCCAGCAGCTCCCCCTCCCTGTCCCTGCAAAACCCTTGGCTGCTGCAAGGAGTCCCCGCTTCTCCTGTATGCTCCCTGTTGTTACAGCTCAGTTGCCAAATGCTGGTCTCATCCTTCCAGCCTGGTCCCCTGGGCCCTGCACCTTCCTGCCCTCTGCACCCCCATCTTACCACCCATCCCAGAGCTCCACCTACTGCCACTGCTATGGCAAACCCGCCTCTATTCCCAGCTGTCTGCAACGTAGGACACCTGTGTCCACCCAGGCTAGTGTGTGTCATCTACCCCCAGCTCATCTTCCCGTCCCCCTCGGCCAGCAGTTGTAATAATCCTTGCCAGTTCCTGCCTCCACGGGCTTCCTTTCTACTCATCTGATGAGCCGTCCACCCTGCACTGTTATTACAGAGGAATTCCAGACAACACCACATTTCTTGCCTCCTTAACTATGTAAATTGACAGGAGTGTGGAACTGGACCAAAGGTAACTGTGATCCCCAAAGCCAGGTGGGCACATCGACTGTGCAGAAATGACTTCTGCAAACATCTATGTGTATGACACAGGAGTCCCTCAGACAACATCTAGAAGCCTCCTGAGACCAGACAGTGCTGGATTACTTGGACTGGAGCTCGCAGGACCGCCTTGGATGATGTTTGGAATGAGGAAGGGAAGCATCAAGACTCAGCACAGAACCCACCGAGCCACGCCGGGACTGTGCTCACGCAGTGTTGGGAAGGTTGGTCCCACCGAGCCACGCCGGGACTGTGCTCACGCAGTGTCAGGAAGGTTGGTGAGGTGAGGGAGATGACAGAGATAGAGGCCTTACGTGGGACCCTGGAACCACAGGAGCAGGAAGCTGTGGGGACAGGGCACGTCCCAGCAGGAAGAGAGAACTCTCCACCAACTCCAAACCACAGGCCCAAGTTCCCAAGGGCAGGGCAGAAGGTCGCAGGGACATAAACACCAGTTAAAGGGAGTCTGGGCGCACTCATCAAGAAGATTACAGGCTGGATTTCAGCAAGCACAGGTCACTTTAACAAAAGGAACAGGCAAAGTGCAGTTCCTGCTGTGGTGAGCCAGAGCTGCAGCAGCCAGTCCCAGCATGGGTGGCTCCTGGAGGGACGTCAGGGCCATTAGGGAACAATCACAGCCTGGCAACACCCACAATAACAACAATGAAAAAAATATCCCGTCTATGAGGGCGACTGCTCACCACCCACTCTGTTCACGTCAGAGACTTAAATATTAAACATGATTGTGGAAGGTCAACAGTAGAGGGGAAAAACTAATTTACAAATTACAACTCTGGGAAATTCTTTTTTACTTAATGACATACAGGAACAATCACTGTAAACTCACTTTTGTAAACTCAGAGGTATATGGTACCAGGTAATCGGGTAACAATGACCTTTGGCTCAGAAAGGAAGCAGAGACTCAACTACGTGATTTCATCTTCATTAAAAAAGTGGAGGGCCAGCCAGGTGTACTGACTCACACCCGTAATCCCAGCCATCCGGGAGGCCAAGGCAGGTAGATCACTTGAGCTCAGGAGTTCAAGACCAGCCTGAGCAAGAGTGAGACCCTGTCTCTACTAAAACTAAAAAAACTAACCGGGTGTGGTAGTATGCTCCTGTAGTCCCAGCTACTTGGGAGGCTGACACAGGAGGATTGTTTTAGCCCAAGAGTTAAGGTTGCTGTGAACTGTGATGATACCACAGCTGGGGGTGGGGGGCAGGAAGGGAGGGAGGGGGAGTCTACAAGCCAGAGAGAGTGCAGAGATATGGTGAGAGGGACAGGAAGCTGGCAAAGGGTCCTCCCTTCTTTCTCTTCTCTGGGGCTCAGGGAGACAAAGTGCCAAAGCTGGTCTCCAGTGCCAGCTCAGCACACTGAATCACACGGCTGGCTTTGACAGCTTCACGCTCAGTGGGGATTTACATATTCAACAAATTAGTGGCAGTGTGACTCAAGATCCTGGAGACCCTAACATACACAGTCATAAACTTTCATAAATAACCTGAATAAATCCTATCAAACGTCCACCCAAAGGCCAACAAGTTTGTAAGTTATGGTCAAAATTCAAATGTCTTGGGAAATCTAAGACAGGAGCAAGAGCAAACCCCAAGGCAAGAGGAATGTGTGTTTGCAAATAGAGTAGAAAAAGAGAAAACGGGGCAAGCAGGAACAGAGGGCGAGGTAGAAACCATGAGGTGAGCGTTCTGTTAATACCGCCTCACGCAGCAGCTCCCGGTCCTGACAACTTGGGACCTGGCCTGGAGCTGGAGAGCAGCACAGGGGCCGGCGAGACGGAAGGTGGGCAGGCGGGGAAGTGCCGCTCTCCATCAGGCTCAGCAAAGAAAAGAGGAAAACTGGGGAAGGGGCTGTTTCCAGGGTCAAGAAACCACACTAGATAAAGGGAAATGAGACTGACACG